ACAGCCCTTTCTCAGCATCTTTGAATGGTTTTAAATGCCATAAATACTACTAATAAAAAAAAAAAGAACTGGTTTAGGGGCATTCCTTTGGCTTTTCATGCCCAAACACTTCATGCTAACATGCTGCTGTCTGATGTCTTATCGAGGGGAAACCTTGGTTGCTTTTCTGATCCTCACTGGGAATAGATATCAGATGCCCTTGATCTTTAGATCTTCAAACACATCTTGGAGTTCTATTATTTCTATATCCATAGTTTCTTTCAAACCAATCCCAGGGACTGGGGGTGGAGGTGGGAGCGGTACAGGCTTTTCTTTGGGATATACACCAATACCTCTGGGATGAGGAAACTTGTTCCCTTAGGTTTGAGGCAGATTGTATTACTATTTGCAATTAACCACCCTTATCCCCCACAACCCTAAGGATTATAATCCATGACCATTGCCAAGTGATTTGCCTGTAGAAGCAATGGACTTCTTTTCCATTGACTTGGGAAATACAAAAGACTTTGGCCAATGGGATTTGAATGGACGTATCATGATATGTTGGAGAGGCAGTTTTAAGAGGCTTCGCAAGTTTCTGGCAGCTCTCTTGATCTTCCCATCTGCCATGAGAATTGCCAAGTCCTATATAGCAGCTGCTTCTTCAGGAACAAGATGACCCATGGAACAGAACCTCAGCTGACCCACAGCATGTAATACAAGCAAGAAATAAACCTTTGTGGCACAGGCCATTGAGATTTTTGTTTTTTGTTTTTGTTTTTTTACAGCCAAAGTGATGAATACATTGTTTATGATCTATTTTTCTTTTGGCTCTTTAGGAGCTGAAACTCATGAAGTCCAGCTATTCCAAACCAAAAGCTCTGACTTATGAGACTATTTTCCATACCATGAGCTTCAAATGTCTATTAAACAAAGATCTGAGGATTGCCTTCTTTCTTCCTGAGGCAGGAAAGGAAATGCCCTAGCTGTCTAGGAAGAGTATAAGACCAGGGACAGAGCACATGAAATTGTTCTGATTTTTTTCCTGACACACAAGAATTCATAAAACTCTGAAATATAAAATTTGAAAATTCCAAGACATCATTCCTAAACTCAAGGAGTTTATAGGACAGATTAAGTATCTCTTTAAGTAATTATAATGGCAGGTAACAAATAATAAGGGTGTTATCAAGGTGTGCAGAAGAAGTATTGTGGCAGTTCATGGAAGAAGAGGCCTCACAGGATAGGTAGGATTTGGAAATGCATGGAGAGGGGAGAAAAATAATTTTGTACTCAAAATGTAGATGGAGTTAAATCATGGAGGTAGGAAAATAAGAGGCATGGATGGAGCCTTGAGTAAAGGTGAGGAGATTGGTGGGAAGTCAGTTTGGGAGTGCTTACCAACGTCTAGTTATGGTCCTAGCTAAAGAGTGTGGACTGGGTAGTTCCACAACTGGCTAAAGACCATATAGAAAAGGGGCTAGAGAGTGGATTTCAGCAGGATTTATTATTTTAAAAACAATGTGGACATTTATTAATGTTATAAAACTTTGACCCATAAAGTATATGTACATATACAGTTGGAAAAACAATTCAGATGGATTAATCTCCCCAAATGGCCAGTATACACTAGCTGTGTGTATATGTTTGCCAAACAACCATTGTACTTATGAAGTCATTTCTGGTTTGTCGATGGTGGTACTGGATGGTGCATGTTTCAGCCAAAAAAACTAGCCTTATTTTCCTTCAGTAGTGTGCCTATTATCAGGGTACATTTTACTATACTTCGATCTCCTGAGCATTTTAATTAATGATTTAAAAAATCACTACACAACAATGTGAATGTACTTAATACCACTGAGCTATACTCTGAAAATAGTAAATTTATGTTATTTATAGTTTACCACTATAAACTATAAAAAAATAACCAGCAAATCTTCATATGGTTGAATTTACAAATTAGACTTATAAAGCTGGAATTTCCTCAGCTCATCTCTCAATGTCAACCCTGGAGATGTCCATTTTGGCTACGGAGGATGTGACACCCTAGTGTGGGCCAATCTCTTGCTGGTCCTTCCTGTCCTGCCGGTGTGTCTCTGGGGGTCGGGAGAAAGTCTCCTCCATTTCTTGTTCACTTTAGTGCAGGGGTGTGTGTGTGGGGAGTGGGGTGGAGTTCTCGTGTGATGGGAGGCCACAGGGCAGGCAGCCACGCTCTTTTTCCTCCATCCTGGGGATGAAGTGGGGAGAGGTAC